TCGATATTCTCGAAAATTAAAACCGATTCGAAATTAGATCTTAAATGACATCTAATCATTCGCTTCATCATTTCATAAAAAAAATATCTTTGAAATTTTTAAGTGTTGAAAGACTTCAAAATCTTAAAAAATTCGAACATATATGTTATTATCTTTTCTGAGGTACATACAGATTTATAATATTCTTGTCGCTTAACATAAAAGTAGCGACATCTTCCAGTAAGTCAGCGAAACTTAAAACGTTCGACTTACAATTAGTATATATACATACATATATACACACACATATATGTATGTATATTTTTCAGGGTGCGAGCTCACATTACTTACACTTTGCACGTAAAATACATACCTATAAATTAATATTTCAAACTATAATATTTCAAAAATGAAATAATATTGGGAGATTGGGAGTTCCAAAAAGAACATAATAACAATTATTTATAGTCATATTATTTGGTTTACAGAAGTTAACAGACATAGACTGAATCTAAAAGTCAGTTCGCTATAGACATTATTTTTACAAACATATAAATATACTCAGTTACAAAAATAAATGGAATTTTTTATTTGATTCTTGGAGTTTTGTGAATGTTACAAGTAACATTTTGTAAAATACATGTGACATTCGTATAAAATATTAATATTAAATATAATACCATATCATCGCAAAATTTTGTAATTTCTCATAAAGTATCGCGTTTCGTAAGTTTATATATAATATGTAATTTATTATCTACGTTATATATATATGTATATATATATATTAAAGCTAGTATTATTATTATTAGTATTAATATTAGTACATATCTCGGTATCACCAGCAATGATTCGAACTTTGACGAAACTGATACTGAAAAAGTCGGACAAAATAAAAATATTTCTCATTGTTGGTGAAACCGAAATTAGCTGAACACATTTTCATATCTCTCCACAAATATAGCATTTTTAACAGACATCACATCACATTATTACAAGTACCACTCAATAAACAGATAAACAAAAACAAATTTATTTTGCACAAAATTTAAAATTTTCATATTTATTCAAATATTTATAATTTTTTTCATTTTTTTTTCACGTTACCAGAATTATAAAGGATTAAAATATCGTTAAAATTACATAGAACATCATGATTTTGTTTTTCTAATAGACATAACATTTTAAAATTACATACATTTAAAGCATAACTATATTGGAAGACGTTTAATTATCAATTATGAATATATTCATATTGATAATTAATTATCAATATAAGAAGAAATATGTAAGTAAATATAAAAACCATTAATTTCATAATACCAAAATTAAGGTCTAAACGCAACGTGCTAATCAGAACTTGTGGAGTATATAGCATTAAGATATTAATTAATTGTTAATTACAAGGTCATCTGCATTAAAAATGTTATTGGCCCCATTCTAATTTTATTATTATAATTTGCACTTAAAAATTTCAACCACTAAGTGCTATGTGTAATGTAAATATAGAGGTAACTTAAACAATTTGAACAATTCTCATAGATATAATTCGAATAGAAATATTATTTACTCAATTCATTTGTTCGTTTGCCAATACTACTGTATTATTTTGATTTTTACAATTAGACCTAAAGGAAGAGTTAGAACGCTGCTAGTATAGCAGGAGTATTTTCGATAAATGGCTGAATACAGAGTATTTAAATTTTGTCATCATAAAATATTTATATCAATTGTATTGATCGAAAAAATATTTCCTTTGTATATATTATATTTCAAAAATGTTGGTCATACAAGTCTCTATTATCATGTGAACTTGTGTCGTTATAAAGTAAAACCTTTCTTTATTCATCTCAATTTGTAAATTGTTCTGCTGCAATTCGAGATCATTAATCTACCAGACGATAAGCAGTGAACAAAAACAAATGTGTGAACACTGTGAAGACCCTAGGAGCCGTGTGCTTTACTATTAAATCCAATTATATCATAATTAATGCTCGGAAACATCACACAATTTGACAGTTCGGACAGTTCGAATCTTAAGTTCGAACGTTAAATAGTTCGGACTGAATGTATGTTCGAACTATTTTAACCCACTTCAGAGCTGAAAGTTCGAAATTATCACATTTCGAACTTGGACATCGTAAGTCGTCCTCAGGATCATCCTGAATATGTTCAGGATGGCTCAGGATATTTGTAGGACGATATCAATAAATATAGGAATTTTATTTAACTGCTCTTTTGTTTCCAAGGCATATTATGTTATTGTCTGAGCCGTCCGAATTTCAGACATAACGAATTGATATTTCATACTGATCACTGCTTAAGCTCGAACTGTTCGAACTGTCCGAAATATTCGAATTGCTTACTCGATGCTCATTTTTTTAAACTTCGAACTATTCGAATAGTCAACATGTTCGAATCTTTTGTCTGAACCCTAATCATAATATGCTTTATAATATTTTAAGCAATGCGTCACGTTATGAATAACAATTGTAAATTGTTTAAAATTTTCATTCGATAATAGTATTTATAGATTTTGTCCTAGTAAAATTTATTACAAAAATAATTTATTTATTATTGGGCTATTGTGCCTAATAATTTGTGCAATGCGAAAATTGACCTGTTAGAATGAAAGCTATTTTTCATTATTTTATAAATTATAAATTGGACAGAATGCAAAAAATGGCAAAAGTTATTTTCTGTCGCATTATAAATAATTACATTATTGTAATTGCCACAAAACGATGTTGATGATAATCGTTGGTAACACCTTACCTTCATAATCATTACCAATAAATTTGACCTAAAATTTTATTTATGTAATCAATATCAAAATCTGCGTTTTCCAATTCTAAACACGAAACAAATTTTATTTTCGCGGAAATATAAATTATTTTCTAAGAAGATATAAAATTTAGATCTTTTTGTACCATTTTGAATTTATCATTATCTTTCTTTTTTCCTGAACTTACCAAAAATACAACCCGATAAGTATGATAAATTATCCGTCAGAATAAATAATTTTGTTACAGCATGCAACACTTCTTCTTATTCTTCTTGTAATTTGGTTTTAATGGTGGCCGTTCCGACAGTTGAAATTTTCTGACGATTCTTACCAGCTCGTGGAAGGCTTGATCGACGTTCATCCGTAGCTTAGCGCTGCACTCAATGTATGGAATCTTCAATTGACGCGCCATATTCTGTGCCTCCTCAATTGATACCTAAAATGAAGATTCAAATGGATTAGGAAAATGTGGGGAAATAAAAATATATAAAATTACAATTATTCTCTATAGAAAAAAATATCCGGAGTAAAATTTAAGATGTTACTTTATTAATGATACTTACACTTCTTTGGTGGTCCAGATCTGCTTTATTTCCAACCATCAGCATAGGAAATTCATCTCGATCCTTTACCCGAAGTATTTGCCTGTGAAACTTTAATATCTCGTCGAAAGACGAGTGATCAGTTACGGCAAACACGAGGAGGAATCCCTCGCCGCTTCTCATGTATTGTTCGCGCATTGCGCTAAATTCTTCTTGGCCAGCAGTGTCCAATACTACACATAAACATAGTTTTGATATATTTGATTCTTGATTCTGGATTAAATCAAGTTCAGATTAAGCAAATAAACATGAGTGAACTTGTGTTTAATGACCAGAATTAACTGGATTTACTTGAGATTAAAAATCTGTACGAGCAAAAATAAAAACAAGTCTTTAAAATGTATAGATTTATTATTCACTTACTGTCGAGTTTAGCTGGCACATCATCGATAACGCACTGCTTCGTATAAGAATCCTCGATTGTTGGATCATAATCGGTCACGAAATAACTCTGGAAAAAATTTTTAGAATACAGTGTATACTATATAGAATATACAATACATTATAATTTTATACATTTCATCATGCCCTGGAAAAATCTCATCTTATATTTTAAAAAATTTGTTATATTTTACATTCATAAAAAAATTCTAAAAAAATACCTTAAACTTTAAACTTTTTCAGAGTTTATAAATTTTCTCCAAAAATTACAAAATAAAAAATTTTAGAAATTTTCTAGAATATTTCAGAATTCACACATATGAAGAATTTTAGAGGATCTAGACTTCTTCAGTACTTCTGAAATGTTCCAATGTTTCGTATAAAAAATTTGAGATATTTTTTAAAAAGTTATAAAATTATATAGAAATTAAAAAAATTTTGAAATTTATATAAACACTGAAAAAAATTCTATAAAGATCATCAATGAGGTCCCGGGGTAATAGAAGAACGATGACATTACCGATAATTAATAAAAATTTGACATCTCTCGGTCGACTCAGCGACTACCACAGCGCGGCGCGGAGTCGTGCCCCCTTCCGCCCCCTTGCGGAGTACGTACGTACGCATTCGAGGTTTCGTTGGAATCGACGCGCCACGGCGCTGCCGCGTATATGACCATATATGACGATTGCGTACGCGCTGTGACATAATAACGTCCAACTCATCCCAACTGTTGTTTTCTCATTCCATCAAACATAACGCGACATGATATCTCGCTTACGAATTTCACGACTATACCTTCCTCCCACCGTTACTATTTTGCCGTTTTTATCGCCTCGATTATCTCTGACGAGAATTCGATAACGTGTCAAACGATAATCAATTCTGAGAGCACAGGAGATCGCATTTCGGAACAATGACGGAACGTGAACGCGACAAACGCGACGCTTTTCGAATGAAAAGGGAAATTCAAATAATCGAATTCCGTCGAATACGCGAGATCTGCGAAACGCGAAGAAACGCTTCTGCGCATTGAATCGAACGCGAATCGCTCGCGATCGATCCTATGACAGATCGAAGTAAATCATCGTTCACCCGTGTAGAATTGGCGGTGTAGCGAAAGAAATCGGTGCTGAAACTTACTTGGATGAATTGTATCGTGATCGCCGATTTTCCGACACCGCCCCCACCCACGACGACGAGCTTGTAGGGCTGCGCATAGCTCTGTCTGTCAGCGACTTTCGACATCTTTCTCCTCTCGCTCGCTCGTGCTTGCTCGCTCTCACTGGCGCCGCACGCGCGCGATTAAACGCTCATCCCGCGTGCGTGACGTGAGATTGACGCGATACGGGAGAGACGACGCAACGTGCCGCTGCGTGGAAACGGAACGGACGTTTCTCGCGACGCCGACGATCGCCGAGAGCGAAGCCAAAGCTCGAGCGCGCAGCCTCGGGTAACCCCGCAGACGAGGCTCTCGACAACTTTTTATGGTCGGGATTCTCCCTCCGCGACGGTGTGTCAGTAACGTAGGTTTGAACGCTTTGCGGAACAGTCGCGCGCGGCGCTGCGAGTCTCACGTTTATTTTCTCGCTACTTTCTAACCTGAAATTCCTGCTAATTCTTAATTGACATTTGTGACAACTCAGCACAATTCAGTGATCGTGTGGAGTCATTTAAATAATAGTTTACATAATACATATTCAATTGATACGTAAGTGTGTCATTGTCATTCTGAAAATTATTGCGTTTATTAATTATCGTTATAAATTAAATTACATTTGAAAATAATTTATTGCGACATGATAACCTCTCATGATAAAATAAAATCTTATGGATTTGACATTATAAGTACTGATTTATTAAAATAGAAATTGCTTTGAAAAATAATTATGTATACATTACAATGATAACAATTATATGTTACAATATTAATTTCTTTTGTAGGGTATAAAGTTATTATTTAGCATCCATATTTTATATTGCAGATATTCAAAATGAATAGCTCAACAGATCCAAGGCGACCGGATAAAGAAGTTCGCTACAAGCCACCGGGTTCAAATAATCAGTTACATATGCAAGAAGACATGACTCCAGAATACATGAACGTCATAGGAATGATTTTTAGTATGTGTGGCTTAATGATGAGATTGAAATGGTGTTCCTGGGTGGCACTCTACTGTTCCTGCATCAGCTTTGCCAATACACGAGTGAGCGAAGACGCCAAGCAAATCCTCAGCTGCTTCATGCTGTCGATATCGGCAGTAGTGATGTCTTACTTGCAAAATCCACAGCCCATGATACCGCCATGGACAAGTGCTATGCAGTAAATTTTTCTACAAATCTAATGTTCTGCACAGTTTATCTAATTAATAAACCATTTTGTTTTATATACGAGTGCAAGAAAATTTCAACAGTTAAAATAGAATGTTTATATTAGAATGATTGATTATTATATATATTGTATAAAGAATTTTCCTATAACGTACGAATGAATAATAGTGAATTCACTGTAATAATTTATTATTACTCTTTATGCAATATTGAGTCCGTGTTACATTGATAATTTTCGGAATCATTCTGTGATCACTCAATATTCGGATAATCTATTGCATTATACACTATATACAGACGTGTTTTTTTTCATCGTTTATTTCTTATAAATAATTTTATATTATGTATTATATTAAAATTAATCGTATATTCTACGAATTTTCCCTAAGGGTACTATATATAAATAAATATTACATTTTCTAAATATATATGTTATATTGACTAGAATTTAAATGCCACCTGGTGCTATTTTTTTTTTTTTTACATAAGTACAGCGACAATCAAAACTCCAATTTTTAAGAAAGGAAGCATACTTGATAGTCGCATCTTTGGACTATGTAATCACGAAATATTCCTTCATTCGCATTAAGCATCGTCACCAAACTCAAGCAACTTGAGTATAATAAAAAAATGTATGGATGATTATTACTGCACCATGTCAATTTGTACATTAAAGCATGTTTTAAGAATAATAAAAATTATATCAAAAAATTAGACGGTTAACGTACGCGAGATTCGATTTTTATTTGACACAGATTTATATTTAGAAATATATAAAAATTAATGGTCTCTATTGTGATCTTAATAAACGATACTAATACAAAATAGGCCGTTACTGCAATATACTGCAGTATATATTTTAATCTTGATTAAGAGGTTTATAATTGCAGAAATATATGCACTTCTTTCCGATTCTAAACGAGTGGAGAATAGATTTTCTGATATGGAATTTGAAAATTTCCCCAAAAAGATAGATAATTTCATATTGCACAATTATATCTAGCTTCATTGATCAATTATTAAAATAATTGCTCGATTATCTTCCTCTTATCATTGATATTTCTAAGTAATCTTGTTTGAAGAAGTTTTTTGTAATTGTGAATATTACAATAAGATTACAAAATGGTATCTCCCGTAATATCTCTAGTTGAAATATTTATATCAAGACAGGACAATGATTGAAGAAGATATTATGTCTGAACCTGTAAATCAAAAATGGCTAATCGAAACGTACAAAAAACGTAAAAGTATTTTAAAGATATTCTAATTCTAGATCTTCATACGTCTGTTAGAATACCGTTTGATTTGATTACCTAAGAAATTTGTAAATGAAGGAAGAAGAGGAAGTTGGAGAAGAAAAATTTGGCACATGTATTTAAACACCTACTTCTGACTACTATAATCGTGTCTCATGGTCCTCGATTTTATTTCAATTCGTTGAGTTAAAGTCGTTTTACGCGTAATAAATATTACTTTTATCGAAGTTAAAGAGAATCAAACCACACATGAGCCGCAAAGAGCGAAATTATTACTTTATTTCTTTTATTTCGATTTTCGTTTTTTTTACTGAATGAAGAATGCCTTCGCAATCGCATTGATTATGTGCCTCTTCATCTAGAATCTATGACTAGACGCTGCTCTCTCCTCGTCCCACCAACGTAATGGGATACACGTATTTTTTCCGCTTTGCATTGAAAAATGGCGAATTGTGCTGGCCGGGAGTCGGTGTGGGCGATAGGCCTCGAAGAAGCGGTAACGAGGCATCACCGCCCGTAGCATCGATTCCTTTCTTCCACTCAGCACCTAGATCCGTGGCCGGTGCCATGAGTCCTTTGCACTCCGGTGAACTACGCACGCTGAGGAAGACATCATTGCTACTATCGCGCTGTCCAGAGGAACCCTGAAAATACAAAGATACGAACTCGTTACACGATGGTAGAAATTATTTTTTACCGCAAAGTTTTGAGCATACATACCTTCGCTTCGTAGAAATCTAAGCTGGAACCGGTCTCTTCCTCATTAAACTCCACTTGAACGCGATGCGAAGTATGGGAGACTCTCGAGGAGTGTGAAGATGTGTGAGTCGATGAATTCTCTGACAAATCGTCCCTGCAACACGCTGCTGTGCAAGTCCGTTGTTCTCTGAAACATGTATCATTTATACGATGTATGCATATACGTACAAATTCTGACGAAAAAGAGTTCAAGACACTTGAAGGGCAGATTCACTAACTTCATTATAATATTTAATAGACTAATGTCCGTATTTATAGTCGGACCTTATATTTAAGGCTTCCTTAAATTTATCTTTCAAATGAAATTACTAGATCTGAGTGAAAAGCGCACTGGGCATCTAAAGATAAATTTAAGGAAGTCTTAAATATAAGACTTGACTATAAATACATATACAGAGCAATAGTCACAGAAGAATCAACCTATCAGAAGCGACTTTTGATATTACAAGTGATTTGTTTGCACGTTATATAGTTTAGAAATTTTTTCTTTGTAACAAACAAGTCAAATTTTGGATTCTTTATTAAAAAATATCCACCTCCTAACGGTAACAGAGTCCCGTCGTCTCGGGACCGGCGGCGGGAGACCGGCGGCAGCCAGACTCCTGGCGCTCTCGTAACTCGCCTCGCTATTACCGCTGCTACTGCCGTTGTTACTGCCTCCCGCGTGCTCCCCCGTCCTCAGGAAATAGTTCTTCGCCGAGAGCATCGCGTAGTGCAGATTATTCTTCAGATCGTCCGCCGCCGTCGACAAGTTTCCCGGGATCTTGGGGGTGCGTCGCATCGGCCTAGGTGCCGGCACTACCGGCGACGGCGGACTGCTCGTCGATGCCTCTGATAGCGTCTCCGGTGTAGCCAAGGGTGCCGTACGCGTCGAATCGTCCCAGCGACTCGGTCTTCTCGCCCGGAAAAGAAAGGAAAGAATGAATTTTATCGCAAGGAAAAGACGCGATAATTGTTCTATTTATCTATAAAACGAAGCTTTGTAGATTCGTTTCAAAATCCAGACGGCACAAGTGTCCTTCTTGGACTTTGTGTCATTTGGGAACACTTCCTGCGCGACTGTGATCTTTTGGGATTTATGATCGTATCGATACGACGATAACTTTGAAGTGCATGATATATGGTGAGGATTCGGATCTAAGCGAGAGAAGCGAGAGTGAACGAGAGCGTGAAATGAAATTACTAGATCTGAGTGAAAAGCGGGTGCGACAAGTGATTCATTTTTTCGGATTCCTGATATCTCTCTGCTCAATGATCCCTGTGATTGAACGCTTCTCCTACTATTCATTCAAATATTCTTTAGAATTCGCTATATCTTCTTATAAAAATCTACTTTGTCTTTACGTTAGAGATATCTTGATTAACCCCTGAATATATTCTAATAAAATCAACAATTTCATGTTCAGCAATCGTATTTTTTTTTAATGTCCAGCAAAGGTATAATAGCGTCGTCGTGCCGGTGGTTCAGAGTTCAACGTCATCACTTCTATCGCTGCTATCGGTCTCCTCTTCTTCGGGATTCGTTCCCGTAATCCCGATATTAATCCTTCGCGATCCGGAGCAATCTAAAATGTTTGAAGGTCGAAAAAAGGAATTTTACAAAGATCGTTTGCGGGTATCAAGACTATCCTGAAGGGTACGGTCAACGAATAATACACACACTCTAAAAATGATCAATTCGTAAAATTCTCTCTTCTGATTGGTCAATCAAATACTTCAAAGGAAATGAGACTTTGACCGCACCCGAAAATAGATCAATTGCATCAATTTCGACCCTTGATTATCCACGCTGCCGGATCGCAAAGGGTTCTAAGTGGTTCATCATCCTTACGGTTTGCCGTCTTCCGGCCTGGGTGTGTTGAGTAGCTCGCTGGCGAGGCTGACGTACTCCCACGGGATACCTCGAGAGTCCACGCTGAGCTCACGACCGGCCTGCGGTATGTCCGTTGGGCTCTGCAACGATGTGAAGCTCGTCTCCAGGCAGAGCCGGTGCGGCGGGGTGCCGGCTAGATTGCCCAAATGGTATCTGGTCGGGCTGGACGGCGACAACAGGGCTCGCATTTCCTGCTCTTGCAACTCCAGCTCCTGGATTTCAATCGTCTGATGCTCGCGCGCCGCCTCCGACGACACCTCCGTCGAGGACGCGTGTCCGGACACTAGTCGTTGCGGTTTCGCCGGTCCCAGAGTCGTCACAACCTGGCACGACGCGAGCCACGACATAGGATACAGTCGTGTTTCTCGTTATAGAGTGTCGCGAAACTACAGGTACAAATCTCGTCCACGAATTTCTCGAGCTCGAAATCGATTTTCCCTTAGCAAACATCTCGTTATGTTTCTCTCGTTTCAATTTTCTCTTGAATCACTTGATAATTAAATGTCACGTGAAAATTGAAACAAGTTATCTCGTAGAAAAAGAGCAAGGATTCGTGGGTTTGCCATTTTTATTTTCTACATTGAATATCTTAATGTTTTTGTAAAGTTTTGTTTAAATAAATTTCGATTTTCAAGAGAAATCTATTTTCTATAACTTAGTACTTCTATAAATTTATTTATAAGCGATACTCATATGATTCTTTGTTTATTTCTAAACCTACGTTGCAATTCTAACGTTCCAATTTTGTACCTATAATTTGTTGACACCCTATGCGAACTCCTTTATTTGTGTGATTTTTGTAAACAAATATTTTCATTTATCCATTCTTTTTTCCTTTTACCATTAATTTATTATTTGAATACTATCGTATCGGCTATCTAAACGGAATGTATTATCGTAAATTAAGAAATCTTTATATATTTATCAAGATTTTCTTTAAAGCTTTTGAAAGCGATCTATTGTGATTTTCGATGTCCATCGCATCGGAGATATCTGTGTTTCAACCGCGTGAAATCAACGTGAACTCAGTCAAGAGTCGGAAGTAACCGCGAAACGTTTAATGTGCGGATAACGAGAACATATTAGATGAAGAAAGTTCAACTCAAACGGAAGTTCGGAATGAGATATTTATTTCTCACTTCGTCAAGCATAAATTTTCGTAATCGCGAA